TATCTTTCTCACTTGTGTTGTTCCACTGAGAATAACCTGGCCATCTTGAAGTGTCTGCAGTGATTCAGTCAATATTATTCCTCGGTATGACCGTATGATAAGCTTATGTAGCTTTTTCCTTGCTTCCACTTGTAAAAAAAAATCGACCATCTGAACATATTTGCGTTGGTTGGCATAAAAGAATGTAATATAAAGTAACTTCTCATCACCGTTTCAAATGAGAAAGAACCTAATCGTCTCTTACTATATTCAAAATGTTTCATCTCAAAAAAGGTCATTAGAATCAAGCTACAACAACGTACCTTCCTCAACTACGTACAAATAAACAGAGTCTGACCGTCCGTGACACACATACAATGGTTCACCTCTAGCATTCCTGACTAATACAAAGCCATGATGAGGTACCTTTGTCGCCCGTGTTTCCAGCAAAGAGAAAATTAGATCACCCTAAGACAACTCCCAAGGGTCCAGGAGGGTCTTCAGCGAAAGGAAAGACCCCGAGAGGTTTTCTTTTTCTACACAGCATCATCGCCGTCTTAGCTAGTCTTTGTTTTGAGGTTGCTCGGGATGAACTCCAGATCTTCCCGATGACGCGAAAGTTGCTTTGTTGTGATCGCCGAAGGTGAGATCATCCCACATAATGGCCACTCCTCCATCTTATACATTCCTCGCCCTCTTGATACGGATAACACTTGGCTCTTGTGTCTACCATTGGTGCTTGCTTGTACTAGTAGCTTAGGTTAGGTTAGGTCGGATTAGATTGTTTTAAGTTGGGTTGTACTAAAACTGGTTGGGTTAGGTCGGGATAGTTTTTTTAAGTTGGGTTGTGTTTAGTCAGCTTGGGTTAGGTAAGGTTAGATTAGATAATATTGTGTATTGGCTTAGGATAAATTAGGGTTAGGTTAGGTTAGATTATAGGTAAGAATAGATGAGGTAAAATTAGAGTCACATTAGGCAATTTAATAAATTGATTTAAGTAAAATTCAAATAGGCTAGATTAGGTTAATCTGGTTTGGTTGAGTCTAGCCTAGAATAGATTATTTTAAGATGAATTAGGTCATATTAGGTTATGCTTGATTTGAACCCAAATTTAGCAGAAAATAGTTCTGATTAGGCTCGCTAGGCTAGGTCATAGCAGGTATGATTACTCTGACTCAAGCTTAGATTTTAATTGGGGTGAACTAGTCTAGGGTAAAGTAAGTAAGGTTAGGAGAGGTCAGGATGGTAATAATGCACTGTGGTCCTGTCAGTCTTCCTCAATCCCTCCTCCTGCTTCTGCCTCTCCTACCTCCTTTCTTGCATCACCTTCTCTCCCTCCCCTTTCCCTTCCTTTCCTAACCAATGCTCCTCTTTTCTTGCTGCCAATAGGTGAAGGTAATGAGTAAGTAATGTCTGGTGAGTGAAGGCACTTGGATGATGTGGATAAGCAACTGGAATATAAATCAATGACTGAGAGGATGAGGGTGAGAGAGGGTGAGGAGGAGGTGGGTGAGAATGGATGAATTTTAATAATGGTGAGTGAAAGCACGACGGTGAAGGGGTCGAGTGAGTGGAAGCGTGTACTAGTGATTAAGGGAGATTGAGTGAAAGAGTGAGTGAGAGGGGAGGAGTAAGAGAATGTGAGTGACAGAGGGAGAGTGCAGGGGACGGAACCTGGCCGGCCAGCGCGAGCTACCCACCATTTAACATTCTTGTTGATATTACGCTAGTGGTGGCGACACACGGAGGCGGCGGCAAGTGATGGCAGGATGGCAGAGGACAGGTGGCACACACCTGCAGCGCCACTAAAAACCACCACACCCCACTATAACCCTCACCAGGAGCCAACCAAAGCAACCACGGATTGTATGGTAGGCCATTTTCATGTGTTTTTGTATACACACTGTGCTCAGGACTCAATACGTTCTTCAACCCCAGCCATCAAGATCTAACCAACACGACGCTGCCACCCAGAATCAGCCCTTAAATATTGAGATCTTAAGGGTAGAGTTTGTCGGTGCTGGGGGAGGGCGGGTGCGACCTTGGCCCCGGGCAGGCTGGGGCTAACGCAATGCTCTATTGGCCAGAACCTCAATCAGCGCGTCTCAACATGGAAGGTTCCCAGAAGTCTTGGTCGAAATTCATTTTTCCTTTGTTCTTCACCTTCGCTGTCCCCTAAGGTGCTAGGTGACACGCCATAGGCTCTAGGTGAGTGTCGCCTGACTGACGGTGCTCACGGGTCACAAGCAGGCATCGAAGAGGTGAAAAATTAATAAATAGAGAAGAGTGTAGCACGCAAGCGGCGGACTCGACCTCTCCTCTTCATCGACGTCAGTAGTCAGGGGCCCATAACCCCTCTTGCCCCACCTTCCCCTACACCCTAGCTATCACATCTGACACCTGGAAACACTCCCTACACACTCTCCGCCCATACAGCCTCTGCAGGAGCCCCACCTACGTAGTCTGGAGGTTGGGGGGTCGTCAGAAAAGTGGAGTGGTCTGCTGTAGCAGGTGTGAGCACGGCGTCAAATATTTTCAGCCTGCCATGTGACGAAGCTGTCAATCAAGCCCCTCTCTCTCTCTCTCTCTCTTTCTCTCTCCTCCTCCCCGCTGCTCTCCCTCCTCTCCCTGCCCTGCCGGACACATTCCTCTCCTCCTGCACAGCTTCCTCACGGTCCTTGTTGTTTCTTCCCCTCATATTACCTCCTTTTTCATGTCTTCCTGCTCATCTTCCTTGCCCTTTAACTCCTCCAATTATTTCTTCTTCTTCTCCTCCTCTTCTTCCTCTCTCCTTCATGTCTTTCCTTCCATTTTTCCTCTTCTGCTTTTACTCCTCCTCCTCCTCCTTTTCTACGTCTTTCCTCCTCCTTCTCCACCTATTACTATTCTTCCTCCTCTTCCTCTTTCAATATCTTCTCCTTCTCCTCCTCCTCCAGCTTCATTGTCTTCTTCCTCTCCTCCTCCTCGTACATTTATGCCTCATCATCGTCATCATAATCACCACCAAGAGAACATTTCCTTTCATCTTAGTTTCATTACACATAACTGTATCACGGCGGTCCGGGTCACTGTCATCTTCACCACAACATTTTTCACCATCATTCACCTTCCTCCCAACGCCATGTTCACCATTGTCATTCATTTTCACCATATTTAATCTTCGTTTACCTTCATGGTGTTTTTTCGTGTATGTACTGTATGTATGTATGTATGTATGTACAGCAACCCGAGGTCTAATGGTTGGCATACTCGTCTTACAATCAAGCAGCCACGGGTTCGATTTCCCAGGCATAATTAAATTGTGGGCAAATCTCTTGACTTCGTTCGCCTCCGTCTATCCCGCGTTAACTGGGGACTTAGATGTTGATTCATAAGGGTAACAGTCAGCCAAGTGCGGTTGACTAGTTGTCCGGTTTTCCTGGGCTACTCCTTGACACCGGGTCATACGCTTAAACAACCCGGGTGTGGCTGCGATGTTGGCGGCAACTTCTACACATTAAAAATAATCCCAGAGTAGACGAAATTTAAGCCAAACATCCTCGAACTATTAGTATGTATGTATGTGTGCGTGTACGCGAAACGTGCTTGCATGTATGCGTGCATGCGTGCATATAAGTGTGCTTCCATGTGCGTGCCTGCGTTTTGCCTTCCCGGTACGTGTCCACACGCACATACACGTGTGTTTACCTACTGCACGTAAGCATAGAAAAACAGGTAAGAATACATCTTGGAGGAGGTGACGGCGATTCTCACCTCAGTCTCAAGAAACTGCCTCTACACACTACACTCCCTCACTACCACAGCAAGACTTCCCTTCCGTCAGTCCCGTGCCTCGCTGACACCACTCGCCACAAATCTCAAAAAATCTGGAGTTCCTTGTCGACAAAAAACGACAGCGCAGCAGCAGGTTCCAAGAAAGATTAATTTCAGTGATCGTACAGTAAGTGAACAGTAGCGAGGGTTGTGATATATCTATGTAACTGTTGGTTTACTGAGCCAACAAAGATGCATATACAGACACAGACACACACAGTCACAAGCGCACACTAGTACTCGCATATGTAGTCGGGTAAACACACACACAGGTCTCCCTCAGGCGTCGCAGCGGAGAACAATAAGAACTCAACGTCGACCAACGGAGTCCTCGACCATATTTAAGTTGTCACGTTCATGGCAGTTCAAGGCTCGCGAACGTCTCCAGCTCCTTCCTCTTTTTACCAGCATCAAATAAGTGTATGATGGAAACTATACAAAGTCATCGAAAAGGAATGCCCAGATTTTAAATTATATATATATATATATATATATATATATATATATATATATATATATATATATATATATATATATATATATATATATATATATATATATATATATATATATATATCACTTGTTAATATCCCCCACCACCTCACTAAACCTTCTAAACCTTGGCACTCGTCATGACAATAATATTCTTAACCCAACAGTGACATAATCTTGAATTTGCTTGTCATTTATCTTGTGAGAACTTTGGCACCAGCAGCTATTATCAGTCTTCAACCAGTAATGATTTGAGCGAAGAGTCGACCATTATTTAACCTATAATATTCCCATCATGACACCAGCTCCCAGATCGTCAAGTCACGCTCACCTTTGCGTACTAAAATGAACATTTATTCTTTTATCCTTTATGAATCCAGAGGAATCTTAGCTTCACTTAAGATGTACACAACCTTCCCAAGTCGGCCATACATCTCGTTTCCTTCAGGGACATCGATGATAACATTACAATCTGGATCGTGAATAACAAATTCGTCAGATCTCTCGCTGCCCTTTAACCCAGAACTTACATCCAACTTAGAGCCTCTCTCACCTACCTTTACCCTATTGTGACCGAATTGTGTTAATTAACCTGAAGACGTACGAACTTGAGGTGTATCTTTGCTTAACATGCAAGACCTAAAGCCTCACTTTATTCTCCCAGTTAATCCACACAATGTAATTCCTTTCAAAAGTATGACAGGGAATTCAAAAACTCAACCTGAGGCGTGACTGTTACCTACCTTGTGCCATTTTGGGTTGAGTTCTCTTGCTTTGGTGGCATCCTGGAGGGCGTGGGCGAACTTGGCGAGTTTGATGTGGGCGGCGGAGCGGTTGGAGTAGAGGATGTGATTGTGAGGGTCGAGAGCGATGGCCTCAGTGTAGAGAGCCACCGCGGTCTCGAAGTCCCCAGACTGACATGCCGCGTTGCTCTGGCGGACCTTCTCCAAGAACAGCGCCTTCGACCCGCCGCCCTCACCCTCGCCATCAACCTCCAACTGTATCAGGGAGAGAAATAAGGGAGTTAGGCAGTGTAAACGGCGGCCAACCCCTTACTGTACCAGGTAGAGGAATGGCTAAGTCACTTGTATGAAACTGTCAACTTCTACCGTGTGAGGAAGACGTTATAAAGGAGACACTATGAGGAAGACGTTATAAAGGAGACACTGTGAGGAAGACGTTATAAAGGAGACACTGTGAGGAAGACGTTATAAAGGAGACACTGTGAGGAAGACGTTATAAAGGAGACACTGTGAGGAAGACGTTATAAAGGAGACACTATGAGGAAGACGTTATAAAGGAGACACTGTGAGGAAGACGTTATAAAGGAGACACTGTGAGGAAGACGTTATAAAGGAGACACTGTGAGGAAGACGTTATAAAGGAGACACTGAGGAAGACGTTATAAAGGAGACACTGTGAGGAAGACGTTATAAAGGAGACACTGTGAGGAAGACGTTATAAAGGAGACACTGTGAGGAAGACGTTATAAAGGAGACACTGTGAGGAAGACGTTATAAAGGAGACACTATGAGGAAGACGTTATAAAGGAGACACTGTGAGGAAGACGTTATAAAGGAGACACTGTGAGGAAGACGTTATAAAGGAGACACTGTGAGGAAGATACTACGAGGAAGAGAGAAGAGTACACAGTACAAAAAATATATATTTAAACAAATTTTCTCTAATTACCATATTACAGTCTGCATATATTGGTATAACAAAACACAAGAAAATATTCTAACCTTAGAATAAAAGATAAAATCAATAATGTGACAAGTAGCTCCCTGCGGCGGACAAGGTCACACACACTGACCGTAGGAGCTGCCGACCATTTTAATAATAATACATCAGCCCTGATCTGGTGTATAATTATATCGTGTTACGTTGTATCATATTTACATTCTAATACATGAGAGAAACTGTTTATATAATCTTGGTGTTCTTTTTATGAACCTTTGGCAGGGGGAAGTGTTACGTTGGCTACACAATGTACAGTCCAGTACTGGCTAAATAAACATTTATTTAAAACGTTTTTTCTACCGTTTACAATAATAACATCCTTGTGTGTGCGAAGAATAACATAGTGCCGTGTTCTTTACAGCTGTGGCCTCTATACACGTCCTCAGTGACAATATACTGTACACGGTCATATATATAATAATGGTTGCCCCTCGTGTAACGAGGATGGCCGTCCCAAGGGCCACCTAGGCGTGAATTTGTTTAAGGTGTAGAAGCTGTCGCCAACACAACAACCACACCCCAAGTTAACGAGTTGCATGACCCAGTGTCAAGGAATAGTCCGAAAAGACCGGACAACTCGTCAACTGCACTGGCTAACCATTACCCCGGAATACGATCCGCAAATCGATTAACATCCAGGTCCCCAATTACTGCTGGGTGGACAGTCATATATACGCTCTAAGACACAAACAGATGACCATCCTGCTGATCACATGTTGACAGATTCAGATAAAATAATGTCTGTGTAAACAAAGGCGTGTATTATTACTTGTGGGGGGGGGGGGAGTTATCAATAACATGCATTACCAATGTTAATATGTTTCACCTTAAGTCTTACTCTACGTCTACCAGTACATTGCCCTGTGTATTAGGCAGTACAGTATATACCTTGAGAGCGTCTCTAAGCTATTAACTCTTTGTTTTAAAATATTCAGATTTAGAATAATGTCGCACGGACACGACAAGGTGAAGAAGTTATACAAAAAATACTCAAACCTTTAGCTGCAACTGGAACCTTCCTTACCTTGGGTTTCAGATACGTTTTTTCCTAAATATTAAATTACAGTGATCGAACTTAAGATTTTATTAATAATGCTCAAGTTAGCGGTTCTCACGTCCATGATTTAAGAAACTTTTGTACATAAATATTATCCTAGTTTTCTCAATTTTCTTAATTAAAAGAAAACTTGTCAGAGCGAGTCATGAACACCACTCGCCCACTGATGGATGAAGCCTTCACTTACTTCTTATAAATTGAACTCAAGTTAATTAGTTGTCTTATCTTATATTTTACTCTATTATTTTATATGATCCGATAATATTAATTTTCGATGGTATTTACGTTAACTTACTATGCCTTCAAGCCTTTTTTTCTTAAGCTTAATTTCGGTACATTTTTCCAATTTCTACTAAAACTGTATTTAATATTTTTAATGAGACATTCAATTGAGCTTATTTCTATTTCAAATATTTTGCTTCTTAAGAAGATAATAATTGTTTTTGTACCTGACAACACTGATGATAAAGTTTACGTCTCTGAAACGTCTGCAAGTAAAACAAATGACGTCTAGCCTCGGTATTCTTCATTAAGAGTGAAGATGAGGTTCCCCAAGGCGCATATCCACCACAGATACTCGCATCACTTTGCTTGACCCGAGACCACACCTACCCTCCCCTCCCCATCACTGCCAGGTCACTAAGGTAAAATAAAACCCTTGTGAAATTAGTCCCCTAGAAGGAATATGTGACAGTTGAAAATATTATCAGAAGGCGAGTCGTGTTCTTAAGTACTGTACAAATTCTTATTCCAGATGTTGTTAAATTCTTGTTTAACACGAACGTCTAAGAAACTACATACTTGAGAGAGAGAGAGAGAGAGAGAGAGAGAGAGAGAGAGAGAGAGAGAGAGACGCAAACAGAGAGAGAAAGAGAATATTAAGTAAATAAGACAGGTGCGCTCAGCCTGGAAGTATCCCACCTGTCACACGTTCCACGGTCTACGCCCCGGGCAGGACACCTCGCAAGTCCTCATCTGTCCCTCACTCCCTTAACCACAACACAGAGAAGGAAATGCTTCTTACGACACCCAAGTTAGGCTACACTCCCTACTGATGGTGTGTGTGTGTGTGTGTGTGTCGCAAGAGTGATATAGACTCTCTCTCTCTCTCTCTCTCTCTCTCTCTCTCTCTCTCTCTCTCTCTCTCTCTCCTTCATTAAATTCCTTCACACTCTTATTCCCCTCTTTCACTCTTTTCCACCCACCCTCCAACTCCCTGGGTCAAGAGGCCACACTAGAGGCCACTGTATTACCTCACATTCCAAACTAGAGGTCACTGTATTACCTCACATTCCAACACACATTCCAAACTTGAGGTCATTCACATTCCAACACACATTCCACACTAGAGGCCACTGTATTACCTCACATTCCACACTAGAGGTCACTGTATCACCACACATTCCACACTGGAGGCCATTGTATTACCGCACATTCCACACAGACACACAAACTGACTCACACAGACACACAAACTGACTCACATAGACACACAAACTGACTCACACAGACACACAAACTGACTCACATAGACACACAAACTGACTCACACAGACACACAAACTGACTCACACAGACACACAAACTGACTCACACAGACACACAAACTGGCTCACACAGACACACAAACTGACTCACACAGACACACAAACTGACTCACACACACACAAACTGACTCCACACAGACACACAACAGACTCCACACAGACACACAAACTGGATCACAGACACAAAACAGCTACACAGACACACAAACTGACTCACATAGACACACAAACTGACTCCACACAGACACACAAACTGACTCACACAGACACACAAACTGACTCCACACAGACACACAAACTACATAGACACACAAACTGACACATAGACACACAAACTGACTCACACAGACACACAAACTGACTCACACAGACACACAAACTGACTCACATAGACACACAAACTGACTCACACACACACAAACTGACTCACACAGACACACAAACTGACTCACATAGACACACAAACTGACTCTCACAGACACACAAACTGACTCACACAGACACACAAACTGACTCACATAGACACACAAACTGACTCACACACACACAAACTGACTCACACAGACACACAAACTGACTCACACAGACACACAAACTGACTCACACACACATCAGACACAATTATCAGTCAAAAAAATACCCTAACACACACACGACCACAGAGAAGAAGAAGATAGGATAAAGATCAGGTAGAGAAAGATAAATGAAGTTACGGATTGTTGGTGAAATTGACTTGAAAATTGAAGGAAGATGACAGCACCGAAATATAGAGAAGTTAATATTGCGGTTGATTAGTGAGACTGTATATACCCAACATATGGTGACTCTTACTGTTGTTGTTGTTACCAGGATGTTGTTGTTGTTATTAGCAGGATGTTGTTGTTGTTATTACCAGGGTATTGTTGTTGTTATTACCAGGGTATTGTTGTTGTTATTACCAGGACAATGTTGTTGTTATTACCAGGGTGTTGCTGTTGTTATTACCAGGGTATTGTTGTTGTTATTACCAGGGTATTGTTGTTGTTATTACCAGGACAATGTTGTTGTTATTACCAGGGTGTTGCTGTTGTTATTACCAGGGTGTTGCTGTTGTTATTATTGCAGGATGTTTGTTGTTGTTGTTATTACTGGGACAATGTTGTTTGTTATTACCAGGGGTATTGTTGTTGTTATTACCAGGGGTATTGTTGTTGTTATTACCAGGGTATTGTTGTTGTTATTACCAGGGTATTGTTGTTGTTATTACCAGGGTATTGTTATTGTTGTTGCTATTACCAGGATAATGTTGTTGTTATTACCAGGGTATTGTTGTTGTTATTACCAGGGTATTGTTATTGTTGTTGCTATTACCAGGATAATGTTGTTGTTATTACCAGGGTATTGTTGTTGTTATTACCAGAAGAATTATTATTTATTGCAGGACAATGTTGTTGTTATTACCAGGGTGTTGCTGTTGTTATTACCAGGGTGTTGCTGTTGTTATTACCAAGAATATTGTTATTGTTGATATTACCAGGATAGTGTTGTTATTTGTTATCACCAGGGAATATTATTATTGTTGTTGTTGTTATTACCAGGATGATGTTGTTGTTGTTATTACCAGGATAGTGTTGTTGTTGTTATTACCAGGGTGTTGTTGTTGTTATTACCA